ATTTTGATTCTCGATTCTAATCTTCTTCTTCTTCTTGGCTCTGATGATCTAACTGATTCTTATTCAAAAATAAAAAAAAAGAGGTTAGCTCGATTGTTGATTCTTCTTTCTGAGGCTGATAATCGCTGACTATTGTTTCTTTCCTTAGCGAATTCATAATTCAAAAATCAAAAATAGAGGTTTAACTGTTTGTACTTTGTATATGAGCATTTTCCTTGTTAATCGTCCCACTGTTAGATTCGTTTTGTGTTTGTAAGTAAAACTTTATAGACTCATTGTTGTTAGTTGTAAGATTGTATGTTCTGATTTTAGGGCGAAGCAACTACATAGCAATTTTTTTAGTGAGGTTTTGTTTTAGAATTTAGATATATATTATGCTAAATTTTGTTAATTTGATGAAGTTAAATCTATTAATTTTGATGTAGAAATCTATTTGATGTAGAAATTTGTTTATCATTTTCTGCACAAAAGAAGGAATAAATCTATTTTTTGAACTTTGATGTAGACTTCTTTCTTTATTAGACTATCTATTAAGGTTAATATGACTTAATTTTTTTAATATTCATTGTGTCAAGTTGGATTTTGGAATGATTTTCGCTAGAAGTTGCAAAGGTGGAACGAATTTGAGTTTTTTGAAGGTCAAGGCTGTCAATAACTATCAAGAACTCAAAGGCCCCAAACTTTTGGTTCGCTTAGAGCCCCCAAATTGGTTGAGCCGTCCCTGATTGGTTGTGGTATTATGTGAATGGATCAATGATCATTATTTGGTTCCATTAGATGTGTTTTTCTTCCTATTTTGTTTGCTTGTATATATGTCATCATTGTAAAAGATTGCTCCAAATGTGTAAAAGAATATACCTTAATAATTAGAATAAAAAATGGAAATGAAGTGTTTTGGAAGACTGGCCTTCGTAGGACAAAGTAACTATTCATGGCATGGCATCGTATATGATATAGGTGATAACATTTTGACTTAATTTTCTATGGACCATCTTATAGCCAAAACTCCATCTTTGCCACCCTAGTACTCCTTGTTACTTGTCACATAGTTATACAGCAAATATCAGGATTTTGTCACTTCCTTCGTTATACATGCATTGGAGTATTCGACTGCAACTGAAGTCGATATGACAAACACTGTAATATTTTATCTCACCCAAAAATATGAAACAATAATTGCAAAATACGAAGACACCCTCTCATCTTTATCATAAAATATAGACCAAGAAAACTAAACAAACACAACAGGTCTAAAGGGGTAAAAAAAGGTTTAAGGCGGGTTGGTTTGATCCAGAGTTAACCTTTGTCCTTAGTTTCTTATTCGGTTTGAGACTTAGAACGGCATTTCTTATTTATTTTTTGTTCTTAAAATTCGGAAATAACTAATATATTAAATATAATTATATTTAAGAGGTCGAAAGCATCTAAATAAACATTGCTTTTAAATTGTTTAATCTGTTTTTTTTTAAATAAAAGTTGATTGGTTTGATCCAGAGTTAACATTTGTCATTAGTTTCTTATTCGGTTATTTGTCTCCCTTAGAAATGGTGATTTTTAGTTGGGAAAATACTGGGTATAGACATTATTTGGGGTTGAATTCCAAAATATAGACACAAAAAATTGAATTTCCGGGAATAGACATGGATTCCGCGGAGGTAGCTCCGCGGAATCCACTGTAGCTCCGCGGAATGGCAAAATCGTAAATAAATGAGAAAATTAAAAAAAAAAAAAAAAAAAAAAACTCAAGATCCATTCCGCGGAGCTCCGCAGAGGTAGCTCCGAGGAATGGATCTTCAGAAAGAAAAAAAATTCTCCTCCAATGATTCTTTTATGTAAAGATCTTCAATTAAAAAACCAATTTTTTTCCACCTCACATTCATTCCAAACATTGTTAAGAAATATTCATACTATTATAATCTTTTCTTGAAAATAATTAGTTGGGGAATGAATATAAACCTCGAAGAATCGATTTGAAAAAAAAAAAAAAAAATCTGAAGATCCATTCATCGGAGCTACCTCTGCGGAATCCACTATAGCTCCACGAAATGGATCTTGAGTTTTTTTTATTTATTTACGATTTTGCCATTCCGCGGAGCTCCGCGTAGTTACCTCCGCGGAATCCATGTCTATACTCGGAAATTCAATTTTTTGTGTCTATATTTTTGAATTCAACCCCAAATAATCTTTGTACCTGGTATCTTTCCCTTTTTAGTTTATTGGTTGCCACCTCGTTGTGGTCAAAAGTACTTGGCCTGTCAGCTTGTTTTATTCAGTGTGCTTTATCTTCTCTAGAATTAAGTGCAATATTATGTGTTCGAATGCTAGATGTAATTACATTCACTTGATAACTCAATTTTCGGTTTTTTAATAAATAATTAATATAATAATTATATTACAAAGATTATACTATCAAAAAATCAATTTAGTTTTCTTAAGAGAACAGTTTAAAAGATTATAAGAATCTGAATATCATTCAAAAGTAAATAATTAATATAATAATTATATTACAAAGATTATACTATCAAAAAATCAATTTAGTTTTCTTAAGAGAACAGTTTAAAAGATTATAAGAATCTGAATATCATTCAAAAGGTTTGATCCATTTCATTTTTTTTAAGTTTAAAATTTTTACTAGTTTGACATTTAGCATTGAAGAGGGGGGGGGGGGGGGGGGGGGGTGTTATGTACTAAATGAATGTAGATGAAAGACATGGACATCTTACCTAAAGTGTATAAATACAAATACTTCTTTTTTATCGGAAGTAACAACACAATCTTCAAATATATAAGGATGGAATTATGCCTCCATGATCCACCCATGTAAAGTGATTGTCTTTTTATTGATGGTTAGGTGTGTAATGACATATATACCCTTGCACATTGATTATTGTAGGCCCAGTATAGGGGTATATATGGCTAGGATTTTTGGTGTGGTATGCATTGAGATAACTTAACCAAATGTATGCTTGTGTTAGAAGATAGATGGGATTATGATTGGTCAAGAGTAAAAGAGAAGTAGTTTTGGTAGGTTCATTTCTTTGTTTGCATGTGCTTGATACATTTATTTATACCCACATGGGTTTAGTGCTTCATGACTTGTACCGTACAACTACATTCCAAACCATGGAACTTGGGGTTTTTGAGATTTTGACAAAACAAAGGATAATATGGCTATTTGTTAACTAATTGTGGAATAAAACAGACCACTTTTTTGTATATCTTATATCATGGTCTTCACATCATTTAGGTGTTTCTAGTTTACGGAGTTTATCAGAAAACCTCCACATTAATCAAATAAATGTTCTTCAAAAAAAAAAAAAAATAGTAATGAGTCATTTTCTTTATAACCAAAAAATGTCTCTTTCCAATCGGATCGGTATGTTAAAAGTCTAAACTGGTTTGCTATTAATGGTCATTAATTGGTCTAGTTTAGAGGCTTTAGATTGCAACCTTTTCATCTATGAATGTGAATAAGATAGTTTGCCACTAACAAGATCCTTTTTGTAATGCATTACATGTCTCGCATTCAATAGGATGAAGCCAAAATTTTGTGAAAAATGGATGAAATCAAACATAGTATATTTCATTCATGATTTTGTAGTGAATATCACAAAATACTTATTAATTACATTAGTTTTTGAACACTAACCGTAGTTTTTAGTCTCTTGACTTGATCCCCCCGATGACGGGAGACTAGTGGTTGAGGAGTGGAATTAGATGTTCATGGTTCAAACCTGTCACACCAGAATATTACTAGTGTTCCACGATTGACTTGTCATGTATAAGCCTTGGGACAGCTTAACGTGAGCTGCTTAGATGATACGGGCTTATTACTTTTTTACTTCATCTTTTGCCCTTTAACAAAGTTTTGTAAAATTGATTTACAATCAATCATTAACTAATCCCTCGTGATAAACCATTGAATATGTAACTGGGCTTATCTTTAATCATATACATTGTGAGTCTGCTAAAATCGACCATCGAATATGTAATTGTGCTTATATTTGATTATATACATTGAGTCTGTTAAAGTTAAACAAATGAACGAAGAACACAATAGAAGAAGTGAGATGACTGAACATGTTATTATATTTCATTATGATGTTTGGTTGGCGTGAATTCATGGAATAAGTTATTCAAATTTGTTGTTTGTTATATATAATTAGAAAATTATATAAACTAATTAAATTGACGAATAAATAAAAAGTGTTATCTTTTAAAATTAAGGTTTCATAAAATAAAGATATATGGCTAAATAAAGCATGTACGAATTCACGTCAAATAAACATGATTATTATTATTATCATAAAACTAAATTTCATTCCTACTTCGTTTGTTGCATATGAAAAAACTGTGTGCTACCTCATTTATCCTCCACATGTTGATACGAAGATATTCATTGCAAATGAACAACATATTCTAAATCAAATTTTGTCCACATCTTGCAAGGTCAAACATATTTTCACGATGATGATATCGTCTGTCTAAAAAAAATGGATAAAAGTAAAACATATTGTTATGTTGACTATTGCGTACATATTTTTTTAGAAACAACAAAATTTTATTAAAATGAACCCCAACTAGTAAGAAACTAGGGGGAACATGAACAAAAGAAAAAGACATACAGTAGTCGCAAGTAAAGAAAAATACATAGGTAACATTAGGAAAAATGAAAAGAAGATGATGACCACACATTCCATTCACATAAACCGCCTTTTCCTCTGCATTTGATCCAGAGATACACCAATGATTTTATCTGCTCAGTTCCGCAAAAGGGACTAATAAATGTCAGTTTAAAAGTCCGATCATTTCTACATTTCCAGAGGCTCCATGTAAGCCCATATCATATCGTAACGAGTCTTTTTTTCTTTTTTGGACACCGAGCTCAGCTTGTAGCAAAGCATAATAGTTCTATGACATTGTGAAATGTTTGATGTTTGATACCGCACCAGTCAAATAATTTGTCTCTTATTGCACTCGCATACAGACATGTTACTAGGATGTGGGCGACACATTCGTCACCAGCAATGCAAGCATCACAGCATGTCGAGTTGAGCTCCACTCCTCATGATCTCAGAGCCATCATAGAAGGAGTTTTATTTTGTAGTGCTCTCCAAATAAAGAAGTTCACCTTGATCGGTGGAAGTAAGTGACTTGGGACATATTTTTTATCGATTAACCTCCTTAATGCCCCAACCGTATAGCGACCATCTGCATCAAGACTACTTTTCCATTGATCACACTCGCTCACCAAATTCATCGTGGACAGTCCGTTCGTTAGATTGTCAAAATCATCGGATAGTCCAGATTCAAGGGGACAAGAATTCCAATGACCTACAAAACATCGATCAATGATTATGTCCGCCCCTTTGCATCTTTTCCTTGTCTCAAGGTTGAACAGGCCGGGGTATTTGGTCTTAAATCGGTGATATTTCGCAAACTACCTTATAAGTAAAATTTAATTGATACGTTTCTTCATTGCTCTTGAGTCTTGACTAACTAAGAAGCCATAGATGTTAAGAAGCCATAGATGTTGGAGACAAAAGTAAAGCAATAATAAATTGATTCATAATAGTATTCTTATCATAGTTGGTAAAAAATAATTTTAAGCATGTACCAATAATTAATAACCTTTTTGAATGACCTCATTAAATTGACTGGTATCTTTTTAATGCTGGCATGGCAACAACAATTACAAAAGGTATAACCATTTTAATGACTTTCTTTTTTACCGTTTTTTTTTCATCTTGGAATTGTTAGCTAGTTATAATTATAATATATGTACGTCAAGTTAAAGATCTAAATATGTTCAATATTTGATACCATATTTTTATGTGTTAAATGTGATTGAAAAAAGTATATTACTACAATAATACTTATATTATTTGAATAACTGATTTAGGAAGTTTTATGTATTTTTATTAGAAATAAACAATACCCAAATATATTGTTCCATATTACTTTAAAAAATATATATATATGTAAAATTTATCTATCTTCTCGATTTATATTAATAAAATAAAAATAAAAAGTTTAGGCAATATTGATTTTGATTATATGCATTTAAGCAAGGAAAACGGATAAGTGAAAATAAGTAATAAAAGGAAAGAAAAAAAGTGTCGTTCGCATGTAATAAATGAGTGTGGCAGGTTCCACAAATGTCACGTGGTACTGGTCCAGTTCACCACCGCTTAAACCCCGAGGACACGTCATCACCGAACCTTCCACGTAGGCCCGGACAACCGTTGGTTCTTCCCAAACCTAACCCCCCACATCTATAACATACAAAGAACCCCAAAATTAACATTAACATTTTTTCATCAAATAAAAACAAAGAGAATGTAGTAGTAGTCATTGCTCCTTCTCTAAGAAGCCAAGACGCCCCACCTCCTCCTATGTGCGTTTGCGTTCCCCCCAAGCCATTTACCACCATCATCATCAGCTCTTTGTCTTTCTCTCTCTCTTTCTATAAAATTTTCAGAGCTAATAGCTGTCTTCTCCATTAAAGCTTTCACGGCTACATTTTCCCACCAGAAAGTGAAATAATCACTTCCTTCACGGTAAAGTATTATCAACCTCTTTGGTTTTCCTTTATATATATATATATATTCCAAATTCCAATCGATTGTATATTCTTTCTCAAATCTCTTTGTTTAATTTGATTATGAGGAAGGCAATGTGGTTTCTCGGGGTGATTCGTTTCTTGATTCTTCTTCTTCTTCATCGGTCTTGGTTGTGTTCTGCTATTTTGGATCCTGTTGATTTTTTAGCATTACAATCGATTAGAAAATCGTTGGAGGATATGCCAGGGTCTAATTACTTTTCTTCATGGGATTTCACTTCTGATCCCTGTAATTTCGCCGGCGTTTACTGCGAAGGGGAAAAAGTTGTGGCGCTGAACCTCGGCGATCCACGCGCCGGTGCTCCTGGTTTATCCGGTCGACTTAATCCTGCTATCGGAAAGTTGACTGCTCTCGCTGAGTTTACGGTTGTTCCTGGTCGGATCATGGGTGCATTGCCGTCGACTTTGTCGCAACTGAAGAATCTACGGTTTTTAGCCGTTAGTCGGAATTTTATCTCCCATGAAATTCCGGCGACATTAGGTGAGCTTCGGTGGTTGAGGACGCTTGATTTGAGTTACAATCAGATCACCGGTGGTGTTCCTTGGGCCATTGGAAATTTACCATCATTAACTAATCTTATCCTCTGTCACAATCATCTATCCGGTTCTATTCCTCATTTTGCTTCTCAAACTCTATCCCGGCTGGACCTCAAACACAACGAATTATCCGGTTCGATTGCACCTGGTTCTCTCCCTCCTTCGTTACAATACCTTTCCCTATCTTGGAACCGGTTTTCTGGTCCGGTAGACCGTGTGATATCTCGACTGAACCGGTTAAACTACCTAGACCTAAGCCTGAACCAATTCAACGGTCTAATCCCGGGTTGCATATTCAGTTTCCCAATCACCAACCTCCAACTCGAGCGAAACCAGTTTTCTGGACCGGTCCAGCCGGGAAGCTCGGTTTCAATACAGACCGTTGATCTTAGCCACAATATGTTGTATGGAAAAGTGTCTCCACTTTTCGCAACCGTACAGAATCTTTACCTGAACAACAACCGGTTCACCGGTTCAGTTCCGACGATTTTTGTGGACCGGTTGATGGCCGGCAGCATACAGTTGTTATACCTACAGCATAATTTTTTGACCGGAATGCCGATTAATCCGAGGGCTTTGATTCCTATGAGCAGTTCGTTGTGTTTGCAGTACAATTGCATGATCCCACCGGTTCAGACCCCATGCCCGATTAATGCTGGTACCCAGAAGACCCGCCCCACTTCGCAGTGCATGGAATGGAAAGGCTAAAATAGGGAATTTAATTTATATTATATTATATACTCGTTTAATTTTGCTACTTAATATTACTAGAAAAGGTAATCATATATATTACTTATATATACTTTTGGGAGGGAGGGAGGGTGTTTTTAGATTCATTTGATTAAATTTTGATGTCAAAAAATTGGGGGAAATATGAGAGATTATCATCATAATCATAATATATTTCTTGTGAATAATATAAGTTTTTGTCGGATATTCTTTTATCCCATATGTTTCTTATAATCTATGTTGTATCTGTTGTTTGATTCAATTCATGGTTCTAATTTCTAATTTCGTGTGAAAAGCCAAATTTTGTATTCGTTGACAACAGCACGTTCCAAAATTAGAAGAAACTTGCTTTTAATTTTTAAACATGTACTTATTAGGAGCAAATATGTGCTAGAAAACCGTATCCGCTAATTAAAACAATATTCAAAATACCCATGATTCATGAAATATTCCGAGAAATTGAAACAAAACTGAATTTTTTTAATGTGCCAGATATGTTAAAAATATTAAGTTATTAGGTTAATAATCTAAATCGTTTAATAAAACGACGTAGAAAATTGTATCCATTTAAAATACATTTTAGGCGTTTTTCGATCTGATTTGTTCTTTTAGCTAACCTTTTAACTCTTAAATTTAATGTGAAAATTTTATATATAGTAATTGTGATGCATGCTCGACACCAAATGCATTATTCGTGTAATTTTTACATAATGCATGACAAATGTGGTATATGCGGAAAATATAATAATGTAGTAATAAAATAATGCAAGAATATTTGTATGTATGTTCTTGGATTTGGACTTGGACCCACGTGATAATGGATAAGTGGAGTTCTCCTTTTCAGCTTTGAATTTGCATGGGTGTTGTGGAACCGGAACAGCATCATTGCATTCAATATTTCGTATTGGTCTCATCTCATTGTCGCTCTTCGTTATTGGGATGTGCACTCTCTTTTCCTTTACCAGTGTCATTTTTTCTTATTCTTACTTCCATATAAAATAAAAACAACTAGGAAAAGGTCCTTGCTTTGTCATTCTTTTTAGAAAAAAAATGAAAGGTAGAAGAATGTTTGACGGAAATTCCAAAGAATAAAAAAAAGGGATAGAAGAATACGGTAGACGAAAATGATAAAGAATAAAGAAAAATGGTTGTAAAGAAGTAAAAGTGAAAGTTTAGTGGCCAAAATATAAAGAAGTAAAAATAAAGTGACAAAATTATAAAAATGAAAAGTTTGTTGAAACTTTAGTGGCAAAGTTATAAAGAAGTAAATAAAGTGGTCAAATTATAAAGATGGGAAGTTTCAACACTAAAATGTAGAAAAGATGTGGCAAAAGTCCTAAAATATAGAAAATATGTGGCAAAAGTTAGAAATAGAAAAGAATACTGTTCTTTTCCTCTATGCGCTTTAATATATATAGTTAATTACTTCTTTTAAGAAACATAATATTCATACATATATTATGAATTTTTTTCCCTTTTGGAAAGATATATGTAGAGATCGAACTTAAGTTTCCTTATCCTGGTTGATTAGCTAACTGAGCATCCTTAGCAGTTAGAAATATTGATTTTTCTAGTTATATAGAATTTAACGTAGCTAAATGGGTGTAACATTAGGCATTAACCTACCACACACAAATTTGAAGTGAAATATATATTATATATAAAATTTATATTTCTTTTGAAAAAAAAAATGCTAAGGTTGTGAATTATGTCATGGTTTACCTCATTCAAAACTTAAATTCATAATGAAAGAAATAATTTAACTGTTAATGCACGTCGATTAAAGAACTGAGGCAACAATTTTTTGAATAAATCAAATTGCATTTCAACTTAAACGAACAAGTTACTTTAAAATCATATATTGTTATATATTTTTACCATTTGAAATATTTTGCTACTTGTCTATATTTTAAGAATTATTTTGTCTACCCTAAAACAAAATCTTAGATACGTCACTGATGCTGTAATAAATTTGTCATTTTTCAAAAAAAGAAACATGTAAATTTGTGCGGAGGAAATGTGAAATGTTTGGAATTTCTACATACATAAGATAAGTTTATGAACTTTTTTTTTAAGAAATTGATTGCTTTTTATCATTTTAGGAAACTATAGTTTTCTTTGCTAATTTAAGCAATCTAGTTGATAAATGCAAATATGGCTCCATAAGTTTGTAAGTATCCACTTTGTTGCATATTTTGGAAAACCGTTTACGTTCCTTACATAAACAAGTAATTAACCTGCCAGGCCGCCATTATATAGAATCTTATAAAAATATGTTCATATGTGGTTGTGATTATTTGTGTGAAGTATGTATGTAAACATAATGTTCTAGATAGATAATATTAAAAGGAGAATGGTACATGACATAAATACTTAAATTGTAATATCCACCCTCAAACTCGACGAGGTGGATAATAGATCAAACTGAGTTTGGAGATCAGAAAACTAAAACGACCAGGTAAGAGTGTTTTGTTTGATTAGTAAAGGAAATAAACAATAGACAAACGCTATTACCAATAACATGCATAAAAAATGATGCAGAAATGTCATATTTTTAAACTTCAAACACAAGTTTTTTCAACCAAACATTAAACATATAGTTTTGTTCTTAAACATCAAACACAAATTGTTTCAAGCAAAAAAAAAAATGACAAACAAAAGTCAGGCATAAATCAACAGCATATTTGAATTCGAAATACATTAGCTTCTTAGAAATTCGGGGTAATAAAATGCTTGGAAATTCTGAGAATCGTGTGTACACTTTCATATTAAAGTATTTTTGGTGGTACTCCCAACCTTTAATCGGATAAGACTCAGAAGAGTTTCAAGAACAGAGAATATGAAGTATGATTTTCGTGATTGTTGTTGTACTAGGAAAAATGATGATCAAAATGATTAAGTACTTCATTTATCTGAAAACTGTCAAGGCAGTTTTCTTTGTCCAATAACTACTCCAACTGTCAAAACCAGTTTATAACAGTCATAAACTGTCACTAAAACTGGATCATTAATAAAGGTCAAAATGAAGTAAAAAACCGGGTTTATTTACAGAAAATTCGACCCCAGCCAGGGCTCTGCCCCTTGGACCCCGCCAGGGGCTGCCGCCCCTTGGACCCCGCTCGCAGTGGCGCTGCGCCCGGACTCCCGTTTGTTTAGGGGCTTCGCACCAAAATGACAGTCTACTTTAAATCTTGAATGAACTTAAACAAGTGTGCACTCCGCACCTTCCTTATTTGTTTAATATTCATCAAGATTGATTTTTGGTCAACAAGTCAATCCATTACACTTAAATACACATTGATGATACAAAATCACCAACAAACCTCCCACATTTAAGTGTAATCTTGATTAACTTAAAACAAATCATAACAACAACAAACTGATGCATAAATGAATTTCGTGACGATTGGATTTCACATTAGTATATTATTCAATCCAAATATTCGAATATCAGGGTATCACTAAGGATTGAACCCTTTCTATTCATAGTGAATACATGAAAATAATACACAGAACAGTTTATATTCTCATAAGTTCTAACCTGACACTATATTTTACTAGCTTGTGTCCCATCCTTCAATAAGCATATCAAAGCCAAGTCCTAACTTCTTGAAGCAGCTAAACTTCATGCTTATATAGGTAGTCCTTTTATTCTTGCACCTACAAATGCAATTTTTCAAAAGAACTATTAAGAATATAAATTCAACCCCCTTAACTTGCAGTATTGAACACATACCTTGGGATGATGATAATAATGTGTTTCAATCTTCAAATATCAAGCTTTCCACATTGAATTCAGCATCTAATATTACATTAGATGGGAATTAGGTATCTCAATATAAAAGATTTTAAGTGAACTTTAAACCCATCCCTACAGCCGCCTTGTGCACAAGATCTCTTGCTAACCCTTTGGTTAGATGATCGGCCAAATTCAATTGAGTTCTCACAAACTCCACAGATATCACACCAGTCATGATGAGCTCATGAATCATGCTATGTCTAACACCTAAGTGTCTAGACTTCCCGTTATATACTTGACTATAAGCCTTAGCCAAGGTTGTAACACTATCACATCTTATAGAAATGGTAGATATCGGTTTAGGCCATAATGGAATTTCATAAATCAAATTCCTTAGCCACTCAGCTTCCTTACCAGCAGCAGACAATGCTACAAACTCAGACTCTATAGTTGAGTTAGTAATACAATTCTGTTTCTTGGATGCCTAAGAAATGGCTCCTCCTCCAAGAAGAAATACCCAACCACTTGTAGAAGAGTGATCTTCTAAGTTGGTAATCCAGCTGGCATCTGAATAACCTTCCAAAACAGAAGGGTATCCACTATAAGTCAAACCATAATCCTTGGTTCCTTTCAAATACTTGAATACTCTATTCACTACTTGCCAATGATGTGTACTAGGATTACTAGTATATCTACTAATCTTTCCCACAGCAAAAGCTATATCAGGCCTAGTACTAATCATGGCATACATAAGACAACCAATTGATCTTGAATATTCAAGTTGAGACATTGGAGAACCTTTATTTGGTAGAAGCATAAGATTAGAATCTATAGGAGTGCTTACAGGAGAACAAGTCTCAAAGTTAAACTTTTTCAATATGTTCTCAATGTAATGAGATTGAGAAATTGAAGTCACATTGTTCCCTTTTCTAATTCTTATACCAAGAATTACCTCAGTCTCCCCCATGTCTTTCATATCAAAACTAGATGATAAGAATTTCTTGGTTTTATCAACTTCACCTTGATCGGTACCAAAAATTAACATATCATCAACATATAGACAAATTATAACTCCTTTACCAGAAGAATCAAATTTGCTATATACACATTTATCAGCCTGGTTTAATGCAAAACCAGTAGACAATATCACATCATCAAACTTTTGATGCCATTGTTTTGGTGCTTGTTTCAAACCATATAATGATTTCTTCAACTTGCACACCTTATGTTCATTACCAGGCATCACAAAACCTTCAGGTTGTTTCATGTAAATTTCCTCATCTAAGTCACCATTCAAGAATGCAGTTTTCACATCCATTTGGTGAATCACAAGATTATGTATAGCTGCA